AAATGGGTAGAAAGTTAAATATGAGTACAGTGTAATTAACAGAAAATATTACAGAAAATTTCTGAATAGATAATCTTTTTCAATAAATAAAGGCCATGTACATTAAAATTTGTTGATGAAGGAATGTTTTGTTTCTGATTGGAAGTACTCCTCCATTACCAGAACTCTCTTGTAATAAGCCTGTGCATTGTAAGACGTCCACTCAAAAAGCATACTATATGGATCAACTTTGAATCAACAATTTTTAATTTCTAGAGCTGCCAGTCTGCTGGAATCAGATTAGAGATAACGGGCAAAGACCCATTGAAACAACACTATTACTGTGGTATGATAGTTTTCTATTGTCTATCAATTTAAGATGTGTTTGGGTTTTGTTTTGGCTTCACATCCTGTTAACAACAAGAGTCATTTGAGGATGTGCCAGGTTTGGAAGATGTAGAAAATTTAGAGTTTATGGATAAAATCCATGAGCTATAGGTGGAGGACTGGTGACAAAGACGGTTTGACACCTTCTGAAATAAGATGAAGTGATTGTATAACATAATTATACTTGCACAGTTTTATAATATATTCCATATTTTGTTTAAGATTTGATTTTACATCTGGCTTTAAGGCATTAATTTCTGAGACACTTCAAATTTTGCTCCAAAAGTAATCCAAAGCCAAGTAATTCCAGAAAATATGAAAATAGAATGATTGAAAAAGTATTGAAATATTGTCAGGTGACTCCAGAAGTAGCCAAATATTGTCAGGTGAATTCAGAAGTATTGAAATATTGTCAGGTGACTCCAGAAGTAGCCAAATATTGTCAGGTGAATTCAGAAGAAATGAAAAATTGTCAGATGACTCCAGAAGTATTGAAATATTGTCAGGTGACTCCAGAAGTATTGAAATATTGTCAGGTGACTCCAGAAGAAATGAAAAATTGTCAGATGACTCCAGAAGTAGTGAAATATTGTCAGGTGACACCAGAAGTATTGAAATATTGTCAGGTGACTCCAGAAGTATTGAAATATTGTCAGGTGACTCCAGAAGTATTGAAATATTGTCAGGTGACTCCAGAAGTATTGAAATATTGTCAGGTGACTCCAGAAGTATTGAAATATTGTCAGGTGACTCCAGAAGTAGTGAAATATTGTCAGGTGACACCAGAAGTATTGAAATATTGTCAGGTGACTCCAGAAGTATTGAAATATTGTCAGGTGACTCCAGAAGTAGTGAAATATTGTCAGGTGACACCAGAAGTATTGAAATATTGTCAGGTGACTCCAGAAGTATTGAAATATTGTCAGGTGACACCAGAAGTAGTGAAATATTGTCAGGTGACTCCAGAAGTATTGAAATAATGTCAGGTGACTCTGAAAGTCATTCAGTAGGATGATTCAAATATAATTCAGCATTTCTGCTAGTCATTATCATTTATCAGTTTTACCTTCAAAATACCAGTGAAATGTAATGAAATCAGGTGACATAATAACACAAAGTGTATGTTGAACAAATATTGTAATGTATTGATTGGACCTCTTTAGTTGTGGGACAGAAGTAAAGAATTTTAATATTTAATGTCAGGTGACATTTCTGAAAGTCAGATTAATTATTAATAATTTATGAATGTCTGTTAACAGGTTGAGGAAAGTGGATAGAAAGATCTATTCTCTCAAATATATTTTTTTATTCAGCATTTCTGCTAGTCATTATCATTTATCAGTTTTACCTTCAAAATACCAGTGATTAATATGTAGAGTGAAATTAAGTACTTCGAAATACATAATAACACAAAGTGTATGTTACAGAACAAATCAGGCAATGTAATGTATTGATTGGACCTCTTTAGTTGTGGGACAGAGAAGAATAAAGAATTTTAATATTTAATCACAGACAGGTGGTAACAATGACTCTCTTTAAGGCTCCATTTCTATTGAGAAGGAAGTCAGATTAATTATTAATAATTTATGAATGTCTGTTAACAGGTTGAGGAAAGTCATACACTTGACACCTCCATCATACAGTCATACCGGACACCTCCCTTGTACAGTCATACCTGACACCTCCCTGGTACAGTCATACATGACACCTCTCTGGTATAGTCATACCTGACACCTCCATCATACAGTCATACCCGACACCTCCCTGGTACAGTCATACCTGACACCTCCATTATACAGTCATACCTGACACCTCCCTGGTACAGTCATACCTGACACCTCCATCATACAGTCATACCTGACACCTCCATCATACAGTCATACCTGACACCTCCCTGGTACAGTCATACCTGACACCTCCCTGGTACAGACATACCTGACACCTCCATCGTACAGTCACACTTGACACCTCCATCATACAGTCATACAGTCATACCTGACACCTCCATCATACAGTCATACCTGACACCTCCATCATACAGTCATACCTGACACCTCCATCATACAGTCATACCTGACATCTCCATCATACAGTCACACTTGACACCTCCATCATACAGTCATACCGGACACCTCCCTTGTACAGTCATACCTGACACCTCCCTGGTACAGTCATACATGACACCTCTCTGGTACAGTCATACCTGACACCTCCATCATACAGTCATACCTGACACCTCCATCATACAGTCATACCTTACACCTCCCTGGTACAGTCATACCTGACACCTCCTTCATACAGTCATACCTGACATCTCCATCATACAGTCACACTTGACACCTCCATCATACAGTCATACCTGACACCTCCCTTGTACAGTCATACCTGACACCTCCCTGGTACAGTCATACATGACACCTCTCTGGTACAGTCATACCTGACACCTCCCTGGTACAGTCATACCTTACACCTCCCTGGTACAGTCATACCTGACACCTCCATCATACAGTCATACCTGACACCTCCATCATACAGTCATACCTGACACCTCGCTGGTACAGTCATACCTGACACCTCCATCATACAGTCATACCCGACACCTCCATCATACAGTCATACCTGACACCTCGCTGGTACAGTCATACCCAGTCATACCTGACACCTCCATCATACAGTCATACCTGACACCTCCCTGGTACAGTCATACCTGACACCTCCCTGGTACAGTCATACCTGACACCTCCCTGGTACAGACATACCTGACACCTCCATCGTACAGTCATACCTGACACCTCCCTGGTATAGCCATACCTCTCTTACACAGTTTAATGATGCCTTGCTGAGGAAGTCATACATTCAGTATATGAACAGAATTAATTGCTTCTTGTTATACACATGGCCAGAACACTGACGTTTGTTGGTGAGATGATACCGAGACACCGGAAGAGTCACAGAGACAGAAAACCTGTCAATCAATCATATCTAGTTGTTTAACCAGTGAATGAGGACTTAATTGGCTAATTTGATGGTGTCTGTTAGATGGTGTCAATGCTGTAGACCATGGATAAGGGTTTTAATGCTGATATAATCTCAATAAAATATATTGATCTTCTGTCGTCGTGAATTCAGGAAAATTTTTAATGCTTTGTTTGCATGAAGTTGATGGTCAATATTTCTAAATCTCCAGTCTAATTGATAGCCAGAAATTGATTCTCTGTGCAAATTCATGAATCATTTTGATATGATCCTATGTGCAAATTTATTAATCAGTTTAATACAAAAGAAATAAATAAAGGGTAAAGTAAGGTAGATGAAATATTTACAGTACAGTGTTTAATGGTTCTGTAAAATAACCATCGACAACCATTTCAGTAGAATCTGCTACCTGTATGTGTTAATGATGGTCTTACAGAGGGCTGACATTCTATATCAAAATCTAATCCAACTTCCATTTTTATATTTATTTAAATCTTTCATATTCAAGAATTTTGTGATAAAGATCAATTTTATTTGAAAATGAAATGAAAAAATATCTTTTCTTCTTTGATATAAATGATTTAATTTTTCGTATTTCTGTTTTATAAATTTTTGGTTTTGCTTGCTCTGTTACTTACAATATTCTGACCAGATTATATATATATATACAGACGATTAATAAACAATACTTATCATTTTACCTACCTGTGAAATGTGACATTGTGTTTAAATCTGTATGAATGAGCTTATGTCATCAGAGTTTTAAGTCAGAATATTTGTATTACTAATCCTCCCTTGTCTCGTATACAAGTATTGATTTACAAGGTATAATATTGATCTGACTACACTTTTCTGAAACAGACTATAGACTAGCTTTATGGAGGGATTTTCACTTATCTTGCTACGACATGTATTCAATTGCTAACTGTATAAAAAAAAAGTCAATAAAGATATGTGACTGAATTTACCAGCCATGGCTGCTGGTTACAGGTGCTTTGACTTCAGTTGTTGTACAAATAAAACTCATTTCCAATTCATAGAAAAAAAGGAAATTAAGATAAAAATTTCATTTTATTAAAAGTACACCATGTAAACAGTAGTTGTAGTTTATGTGACGGCCGGGTGTCTCTCAGTTAAAATTAATGTGTATTAGCCATTCAAGTATGCTTAAATAGATATACAAAACCCTATTGTGGTCCAGTTCCACAATACGGCTCTGAGTAGTGGAAGGACAGACTTTAGTAGTGGACTCGTGCCAATATATATATCTGATCAGGGCTTTACGATCCCGCTTGGTCGAGTGCAGACCCGTTTGTTTAGAATGTGATCGTATTCATCTGAGCTCTTGAATGGTGTTGATATGTTGCTAGCTATGGAGGGAGAGAAATCATCTGCATGTTGTGGGGCCTAAAATATGCAATTTTCTCTTAGTAAGGAAACTAGGAACAAATATTTCCTTAAGGATTTTGTGCTTGTCTTAAGGAAGACTTGGAGTACCTGTAAAATTCACACCTGTCCATATGTGCTAATTACCTACCTGTGAATATACATCCACATGCTTTGCTGGATAGAGAGAAGGAATTAGATTTATTTATTGTTTAGGGATAAATAAGGATATGGATAGCTTGTCACAATTCTGAGGAAGAATAACTTCCAATATGGATCCAGCTTCAGATGGGAATAAGGATGACTCCTTATTTGCTGAATTAGGAGGGGCCAAAAAAGGGCCAGAGAGGAGCATGTTTCAGGTATGTAGATGCATTACACTAATTGTATACTGTGTGGTTTATAGGAACAGAGTCGTGTAGCTCTCTCAGGAACAGAGGGAGTGTTAGTCTACGATAGATACACAAAATGTATGGAAATGAAAGTGAAACTCCAGGTGGGATGAGGAGAGGAGGGGGGGGGGGGGACAGATATAAGTAGATGAATCACGTTGCATTTTAATATCAGACTCAAGATTTAGTTGAAGAAATTGAAATTTTTTAAAGCGATTTTCTCTAGAATATTTATTTCCACATTTTATTTAACACTATCTGTGAACAGAGTTTAAGATAACTGAAATATAATACTACTGCATACAATGAGTTTCAAGATCGTGTGTACTTTATGGATATTATCACAAATTTTTTTCGTGAATATACAGATACTTGACAAGTCAGATATTTAGTAGTGTGTAATATGAACATGATATAAATGCTAACGACATGCAGTAAACAGGTGCTTGATTCAGATTTAATTTCAATTGAACTATGATTTTCACAGTAAAGTATATAGGGGGTTGATAACTACATAATGAAGGTAATTGGTGTTAGATTTGAAAAGCTATGGGTCACTGGTGTTTCTTTTACTTCAAACATCGGATTTAGTTTCAGATTAATTTAATGTGTAGTAATCGTTACATTGGTGAGGGTGGAGACAAGGATTTCTCCATATTCAGGTCTTACAAGGGATTGAGAGGTAGGGGGTGGGATTACTTGTTATCAAGGTGTTACATAGCCAAGCCATTGTTATTCTATACAGGTAATTTACAGGTACATATGTACTTTACTAGTAATTACAGTTCTCAGTAGTATCATTTACCTTATATTTCATAAAATCATGACAGTCATGTTACTTATCATTACCACTATAAGCCCATGCTTTATCATTAGTTATACAAAGTCTATTGCTGCTTAGTAGAATTACCAACAATTGTTACCCAGTTGACCAGTAATAAGCCCCACCCCCTTACCATATTCATCTGGAAATGAAACATTCCAATTTTGATACATGTAAGAAAAACAAAATGGCCGAATTGCAACCATCTTGGATTTGACAGTGAAAAATGATTATTTCCTAAAAGAAATTTTGGATTTCATTTAATTAAAAGCAAGAACAAAGAATAAAAGAGAAAGGAAGCAAGAAGGTCAAACAATGGCGAGCGCCAAAATCCCCGTGGGATCTCGTTTTTTTAAAAAGTCATTATCTATGTAGTATTGACGGTAATGGTATTGTCTGGGTTACTATTTGTATCAACATTATATTAGCACAATTGTCAGTGTAGGTATTTAATCATCTAATAACGGTTTGTTGTTGGAATTTGCTTGTTATTAGCTTCTACCGTACTGTTTCAATGTAGTAGTGTTGTATTGATTGATATGAAAATTGCAGCACTATACAGGTGATTAAGATGTTAATATTATATCTGTCCAAAGGCTGATTTCACTGTAGGCGTTACAGGTTGTATATGGTGTTTTACAGGTACCACGGTACGCACACACACAAGTGTAGTTCTGGAATTACCGTATTTACTGTAATGAATGCCCATATCGCATTCCCAAATCTTGGCCAGCCCCTGTTACATTCTATGGGCGGTCAGGTGGCGCAGTGGTAACACTCTTGCCTTTTATGTCAGGTTTCAATTCCCAGAACAGTGTGAAAAGACATGGAATCGCCTGCCCAACCTTGTGGGTTTCCTCAGGTACTCCGGTTTTCTCTAACCGTAAGATCCCTTGCACACTTCCCTTCAGGCCAACAAGAGTGATTAATATATGATAGAAAAATTGATTTTGCAATTGTTGTAGAATACAGTTTATTTATTCATTCTGATGGGCTGGTTGTTTTCATTATTTGTATTTAAAATAAGTGTAAGGGTGATTTTAAATTACACAGCATGTACTGTAGTTTTTGTTTGATAGAACATTGGGTTTACTGACAAAAATCTTTTGTCCAGTAAAAAAATCTTTTTTCCAGTTTGTTATTAGTAATCTGGTCATAAACTGACGTACAGTTCAACACAGAAAACAGAGTTCATGAATTACATCAAAATTATTGATTCATCTTTCAAACTGGTGTACGTTAACCACCATGTAAGTAAATGGTTCACAGAAATACTGGGTGGGGCTGATCAGCATTGTACATAATTCAGTCAAGTACAGAATATATACCTGGGTGTATATAAATATTATTGTTTTACTGCCTCTCAAACTCTCCTTGTGACTCTGATAATTAGACCACAATATAAACTGTCATTGACTAGATCAGTCTTGTGTTTCTGTCTGTAAAACAGGGATATAAAACTATACAAAAGACTAGGAGGTAATTTTTAATCCTGTATCCAGTCAGGATCAAAATTTTAAGGTCCTTAGCATCACTGAAGAGTCCTAGAAGAACGAAACAGCTGTATGATGCAGTTTAATTCATTGTTTGGTTCTAATGTATCTCACTCTAGGTGCTATTCAATTGTGTGTCCTTTTTCTTACAATTCAGTCAATGAAATATTGCATCCATTTTATTCTACCCTCGATACAAACTTGTCAGCAGGTACTGATTCACCAGGCTTTGAACCGTCAATTAGTTGACATTAAGAACAGAAAAAGATTTGCAGTTACTTTCTCTTACTTAAAATGTAATTAATTTCCTGGTATGAACGATGGATGATAGCATTTAGTTGATAATAGGAATTCTTCTGTTAGTTACAAACACTGCATTGATTGACTTATTTAAAGTCAAAATTGCTGCTTTTACTAATTTGTTTTTCGAAATAGATTCTGCAAGAAACTCTTTAAAAAGCTTCAGCAGTGATAAGAGTCTGATCTATCATTAATCGAAGGTTAAAACCAAAGAAGTTAACAGAATACATAACATGTTCTGGCAAAGTGGATTGGAAGTGAATTTTCTAATCATCTTTACAGGGTTCCACTTGTACTTTAAGTTAGGAACACTTTCTGATAACAAATGTTTATAACTGCAGAACTGTCAGTGCAAAAAGGTCAAACAAGCATTCTGACTTAAGACAAGAATATAGATGACAACTAGAAAGTGCAACTTCAAGGCTTAAAAGTTTGAAATCTTTGAGTGGAATCTTTGAGTTGGTGGGGAGCTAAGTCTGATTTGATGTCAGGGAGTGGGTTTATGGGTGTCTTTCTTCTACTAGGTGTGTGTGGGATTGTTATAAGGCCTGTACTTATTGCCAGTTTTGTACATCTATGGCCAAGTGTTAAACAAAGAGTAGCAGAATTTACTTCAATACATTGTTACCGTCTGGTGGGGGTTTTTTGGTAAATTATCTGTTTACAATCACGTCACATTATTTTTGACCTTAGTGTACATAGGATTTAAGTACAGCCAAAAAATTTGGTTGTGTCTTGTACACTACGAATATCAGTGCTAGTACACTCCACACTGGTCATCTGTCTGGTGAAGATGGCGGTGTAGTCATCGAAAAGCCACACTTCAATCTCCTACTGATTGTGTTATAAGAATTTCTATTCTACTTATTACTCTTGTTGAAGGCAGGTTCTTCGAGTGTCAGATCTGATCTGAAACAGAAACAAGAACATTGTAACAGATTCTTTTTATACATTCAACAGTCAGGCTTTTTTTAGTATTATAATCATCATCATTGTCAAATTAACATTATTAATATGATGCTAATACAAATATACACTGAACAGCTTAATGTCTGGCCCTGGATTATTCTCTTCACTAAAACATTAAAGCTGAAATGGTAATCGTGTATAGATATTTTTATTGTTGTTTAATGTCATTTGTTAATGTTTACATTAAAGTATTCAGTATAACTTTCACCAATAGTGGATTTAATTTGACTTATAATTTTTAAACAGGTGAACTGTGGGAGAAATGGTATAGCTGTAGAATACAGCTTAATATGGCTGTGCCCCACCCCACCTATTTTGTCAGGGTTTAAAACTAAAATCAAGTATATCTGTAGTAAAAATTATTTGCAGATACAATGACACTTTAATTAATCATTTATAAGAATTTTTGCTTACAGGTTTGAATAGAAGAATTGAAATAAAGATTTTTTTTTTTAAAAGAAAAAATTAGATTTTTTCCCATTGCCATTGTATATGTCAATCCCATCATAACATTTATACCTGTTGTAATTGGGATAGGAAGCTTTGTGTAGGATTGACACAAGTATTATGTAGCGGAATTTAAATCAAAGATCAATATATGGTTGTACTATTGAATCTCGGAGAGAGCATTGTTAGAGACACCTGATCGTATTTCATTGTTTTTTGTTGAAGAATTGCCCTTAATGTCTGATTTTTGATGCCATTGATAAGACCAGACATTCCTTAACATATCCGATTCTTTAACTGTTGTTCAAATATCGGTATTGTCAGTAAGTGCACAACCTGATACCAACCACCTGAAGTAATTTGAAAATTGTAGACGAAAAATTACTTATATTTGATTTAATAGACTGATTTTTCAGGATGGATGAATATTGAATCTGAAACTTTCTCAACTTCTGACGGTTTTTGATGTACAGATAAACAACCGAATTAATACTAGTACCAGCTATTTCTAAAATTGTATCAGTGTTGTTGTTGACGTGAATCAATACAAACTGGAAAATGTCTGTATCAATAGATGCGTCTGAAGTATTTTCGACGACTCGTAAATGTAACTACAGAAAGGACATTGCTGTATGTTATCACAAATAAGCCCGCTCCCCTAGTTAATAAAATATTGATTAAAAGTAGGAGGTGCTACACTGTGAGTATCCACCTCATATGTTAGTGTCTGTCATCTTGCCAGACCATTACATACCCACTAATCACTGATGACTTTTAATATATATACTGTTATTTGTTGACAATTTGGGTGTGAAATGCTATTCCAGATCCTGAATTTCACTCACATGTTACTGTTGATTGGGCTTTGTTAATTAATTCTACAAAGTTACAATTTTGTATTTTATTAGCTCAGTGCTAATTTCTTTCTAAGCACAAGC